ATTGAATTAAATAAAAAAAGAGAAGGAAGAATATGTAATTGTCCGAAATGTAAAGTTTCCTTTATGACCAACCAACCAAGTAAGTTGTAATCCTTTTTAATATCAATTAAGCACGTATCCCCGTATATATGTTCCTTTCCCTTCCGCTATGCCTGTGTGCTTAGGACAGTTTCCATTTTGATTGGCATTTCAATAAGAATTTCGATCGACCAACCTGTCAAATGCAGAAAAAATCCTCCTATTTATCTCTGCAAAGGAGCAGCACCGCTTAAAAACCTTTTCTCAGGTGCTCTTCAGGCAAAGGCTTAATTACGCCCGAGTCTAGCCGGCTTTCAGCCAGCTAATTTCCGCTGCAAGGAGACTATTTGGCCTAAAAAAAACAAAATGCTAAAAGAAGCTCTACGCAGCTTGAGGCAAGAAATGGCTGAAAAAGATTTTTAAACATAAGGAAGAGATGGAGGAGGAGTAAGAGGAAGCTGTCGACATCCTTGACTGCACTTGACTGGCACAAAGTGCCTTGTTTGTTAGCCAAGTTCGAGGGCATTTAAGCCGCAGCAACAGGTGGCAAGCCAGAGAGAAAATGTCAGGGGAGGACGCACTCTGATTGAGTTAGTTAGTTGGCCAGCTCCTCGTCCTCCATCTCCAGCCAGACTGAGACTTTGCCACGCTAAATTTAACAGCAATTGCAAAACTTTTAAACCCCGAGCAAAGTGAAAGGGGTTTTTCCAAGGGGAGGGAGGGGCATTTACAACTTCCCCACATAATTTGCAACCAAAAATTGTCTACCAAAGCTCAAGGTAAGGACACAGAAATGCCCAATGATGGATGGGAAAATGAAATGTTTTCCATTTTAGCATATGAGGAAACGGGTTAAGCGAGGGCAATTCAAAAGACAGGGGTCAGTCAGTCGTTTGCAAAATCATTTCCCCTGCGAGAAACACAATTTTCTGGTCATAAAATTAAATCAAAATTTGATAAGTGAAAGAGAGTTGGCCACAAGCAGGTGGAGTGATGCCCCCACCTATAACTTATGCTATATAGAGGGCTATATATCAGTTTAGTTAATCTAGTTGAAGTCGCTTATCAGCCAGTTCCTGGCCCAGCTGATATGTCTGATAATGAATTTTAGCGCTTGCCAAAAGATTACACGCACTGAAAAGATTTTCTTTTTTTGGGGAGGTGGCAAACCCCCCCTTGGGGAGTTCATTTTCCTCACACATGAGGAGCTTGGGCTGACTCAAATTTCGCTGTTGCTTTAATTGAAGAGATTTATTACAGCCTGGCAAAAGGTTAAAAATGAGAAAGCATCTTTACGAGACTACAAACTCAAATTTCACTTCACTTTTTAGGCAGTTCATAATATAAGTTTGTTAAGTTTAACAAAATAGTCCATAAGTGCTAAAAGGTTTACAGTTTTTCCACCATAACCTTGGCCCTGGTCAGCTTGATTCTTAACTTTTTCACCGGAAAATGATTTCTTTGCTTAATGAAGCCAAAAATCAAGGGCCACGTCACTATAAACGACTGCAGACCACAGAAAACGAAACAAAAAGCGGGAAAATTGAGATTGAGATGGGTCGGAAGAAGGGGCATTCAGGCATGGAAAATGCACCAGCAACAAGCAGCAACAGCAACAGCAACAAAAAACAGCAGCGACAATGCAACAATGAGATCGCTTATCAGTTGGCGTCTAATTTACGGCAATGAGCCGCCGTGACGACAGACTGACTATGCAGCACCACAGCCGGCAGAGCAGCGGCTTTAATCCCAATTCCATATGGAAAACACATGTATCGGCGAGTGTGTTAATCTCCACGGGAAGTGTGTATGTGTGCGTGCGGAGATTACGGACAAAGTGGGCTTTAAAAATATTCCATTCTGAACTCTGACATTTCCCCGAAATTTTGCTTAATGCGAAATGCGAAATAATAATTAAATTTCAACATCAAGCGGCTGCACTTTGATTATAATTTTAGATGGAAAACTCTTTTTTTAGCTATTGATAAGAAAGCCTTGAATATATTCTAAGAAAAAGATATACCAATTAATGATATGAAAGACCTAATTTTGTATATTTCTATATTAAGAACTCAATAATCTCCACTTTCGTTTAAAATTATTTTTATATATTACTCACCTCGAATCGAACTTCTTGCCATCGGCCTGCAGGGTTCCAGTGTAGTGCATGGTGAGGGAATCTCCAGACTTGGACTTCTGCTCACACACCTCCGGCGTGCTAATCACCTCCACTTTCAGGTCCTCGGCGTGGACGAGGCTTTGGCTGATGGCCACCACCAGAAGGCACGACAAAACGAGAATGGATTTCAACATGGCTGCAAGATGAATGGGGAAACTTGATTACCAAAAAATATGAGACTTTCGCAAAAGAAGAACGTGTTTGAACACTGGACAGCAAGGTGTTTTAATGGTTTATTCAATCGTTTCTCTAAAAAGATATGATTTTATTCAAGTAATTCGATTTTTATGTGAGAATTTATTATTATATATTAATGATTTCCGAATATCACAATAATTTATCATGCAGATAGTCTGTTTGATAAGATAGATATACCTTGGACCATATAAAAGTAGATCCTTTTTGCATTTAGCTCAGACATTAGCTCATCAAAACATTATCCATACCTGTATTTTTAGAAACCCTAACCACAGGCAACTTAGATCCTTGAAAAGTACTAAAGACTATCTCCACCAGCTCGAAACTAAACCAAATCGGCAATGCATGCCCCGGATTGGTGTTCATCACTTTTATACACCCAGATCCATCTTCACTATAATCTGCTATCCATCATCTTCGGCTTAATCATCATATAATCGTTGCACAAGCGTTAAATGTTGAATTTAAACCAATTACACGGAGAGGTGAAACACTTTTTTGCTCATCAGTGTAAAGTTGAAATTGAAATTGGTTGGATGGTCGGAGAGGGGTAACTCGCAGCGATTGCGAATGGGATGCGCGAATGGCAAAAATTAGTCATTATGCAAATGTGCGATTCATTGCAGAGGGGGAGCGAGGGAGCCGAATTCGACCAACCAGCTTTGGCCATCGCGGACAGCTGGTGGGGATTATGCAAGCCAAATGCTAAGCCGGAGCCAAAAGCCAAGCGAAATCATTGCGCGTACATGGTGGCGTATGCGTAATGTCCAGCATGGTAAATTCCAATGGGATGTCGGTGGGTGTTTCTGGTTAAATGAAAGTTTTGAAAGCGCCTAGGTCACCCAAATAAAAAAGACAAAAACTTAAAATAGCCGCAAAAAAACTGAAAAGGCAAACAAAAAAATAAAAATAAAATATGGTGGGACTTTATATAGTTGGAAAACTTTCACTAATGGAAAGGCAATGGTCAAGCCTCAATTACGTGAAATCGACATTAACATCTCTCGATCTTCCTCTTCAACTGCTCTCTTTTCTTGTGCTTCTTTTTCTTTAAACAGTGGTCACTCATCAAGAAAAACGTTCACCCTAATGAGTTCACATCACTTATAATAATCAGTTTGTAAAATGTGAAACTAACAAAGCTAAAGATATAAATTAAAGATAATTCTTCTGAATAATTTGAAATCTTTTTTTTTAACAGTTCTTTCGTTACAGCAGTCATCCTCTTATATCCTACATATCGGTTCACTGTATCGAGTGTCCATCTTTTTGGACTCAAAACCTGTTGGGGCGATCCAACTTCTTCTTTTCGACGCATATCTTTTTTGTTTTAACTTTTTCGTATATCTTTTATGAAAGGTTCAGTGAACGACGGTACGAAGTTTACCGTAAGAGTTCCAATTCACAGACCGGCGCTAAATGTCTCGGAAAATCTTGCCCTAAGCGACACGTCAGGAGTTTTTCAAGTTTTCCATAGAAGAAATGCTAATTATTCAACCGATCGTGATTAGTTGGGGGGGGCAACAATAACAAAGTACTAGGAAACCGCCCGGCAATATTAGTTGTTTCTTTATTTTTATGGACTCGAAGCGATAAGCTCTCTTTCGTTCAGTTTTCTTGGGGCGTATATGTACAGATATGCGTGTGTGTACATACATATGTATGTGTTGGCGTGGACTGAATATGAATGGAAGAGACACGACAGCAATGGCAAAGTACACGCTTTCTTTTGGTTTCTCGAATTTCATTTCTTAATGAGCACATTTTGTAGATATTTACGCTAAGTCAAGCACACGCTTTTCGATCTGATTTTTGCTATATACCTTTTGTCTTCCACAGACGGATATCACTCGATTACGGCGAAGGGGCGAAGGCGGGGGCGGATGCGATGGGCAAACAACAAAAACACGCGAGCAGCGAGCGAGAGAGCTAGAGACACGTCCGTTTCGATCGAAATGCGGCCGAGAAATGCTGGAACTGTCGCCGCCGACGTTGTTTTTCTACTCGCTCCAACGCTCACAAAAATTGAGTACAATTGAGCATAGGAAAAGAGTTGAAATCTTCAAAGAGAGAGCAGAAGAGGCAGATAGAGAGTGATAGTGGGGATACCTGCATGCACACGTGTAAGAGTAAGAGAGAGAAGATCGTGCCTGTGGGGGGTGAGAGAGATCTCGAGTACTTTACTGCGGGGGGGGCAGAAAGAGAAAGAGAGCGAAAAGTGATGAGCACTTGTCCACGTAATCAAGTTGGTAGTTTCTCTCTTGTCCAGGGGCGGAACAAGGTGATAACGGGTAAGACTATTTACTAATTTTATTGAACTAATTTTCTTTTATAAATATATTATAATTAATGAAGTAATTATGCACAACTTACAGGGAAAAGTTAAGTACTGCAATAATCTCTAAAAATCTACTAATAAACTCTGCAGTTAAAAACCTTTTAGAAAACGCTAACCAAAAAGCGAAAATATATAGGAACACAGAGAACACGCAACCTGCTTGAGCAATATTTCAAGTTCAACTGAAGGGATATTTTTTGGCAAAGGACTTGCACTGTCAACATGTTGCTGATAAAGCTCTAGCAACAAAGTTGCAAAAACCCCGTGAATTTGCGCCGCCCACTTTTCCGAAGGCGCAGGCGCTGTTTTTATTTGTGGGTTGAGCCTAAAAAACACATGTAACTTGATGATTGGAGAATAATGTCTATGAATAAAACAAATCTGTTAATTAAATGTTTTAAAGTAATTTATTGCCCCGTCTAGCAATGCTGGACAGATGTTTTATTATCCTAATTATACTCATTACATCCATCTCTTAATTATCTGAATTCCGCATCAGAGTCCTCTCTAGCCAGTCGGTATAGTGCATCACATTCGCGTAAACATTAATCCCTACTTTTCTACAAAGGCGTGATCCATAATTAAGAATTCCAAACTGGACGGGCAATGTGATTCCACGATAGCTGACCTCAGCGCTCAAAGGACCCCCAGAATCCCCACCGCATGTATCACTGGTATAGCTATAGGCACATATCTGCGATTGATCAACATTCACAGTAAATTCATTAATGCAAAAAGAACGATCGGTGTTGTACACGGTGGTCCCTTGCAAGGTCCTACTCCATTGATTGTGTTCGTTTCTGCCCCAGCCGGTGACATTATATGATAGAGGTGTCTCCAATTGCTGACGGAAGAGGATGCAGATTGGCCTAATAAAATCTAAAGAGCTCAGTTTAAGTTTAAAATGTTCTTGCTTGTTCTTGTTCCTCCATTCAGTTACCTGTGTACTCCACCTGTCTGGCCATCCTAAGCAGGCCTATATCATTCTTTCCATCTCGTTCTCTACCGTATTCTTCGTGAGGAATTTCCCGGTCGACATTAATAATAAAACCATTCCTAGGATGGCGTGGCGCATAGTCGCCCAGCCGCACACTCCTGTAAACAGAAATTGGCGAAAATCTATGGTTGAATACTTTACAGTGAACTTACATTTGATTGGTGAATATGCAGTGGGCAGCTGTCAGAACAAAGCCTGCAAGGGATTAAGATCGTTGTTACTAAATTTTAAATCGAATCCTTAATTTTGAAGTCTTACGAGGAGTGATGAGGGAGCCGCCGCACTTTTGTTGACCGTTTACCAATACCAAAACCATCCAAGGATTGGAGAAGATGTCAGTATCGTGACCCCCAGCTATCTTTGCATTAGGAATATCTGACCTTCCGCAATTGCTGTCGAGTAGGTAGGCCGATCCTTTTTTGGCTCCAAGAAGAAGGCTACCAAGTACGGTAATTACGACTATGAACTTCTTCATGGTTTCGTAAGGAATGATTGCGAAGTTGACTTGCTGTGCTTTTATATGGGATGCCTTATCGCCAATTCTGGGAAGCTGCCATATCCAAAAAATGAGAAAATATGATTTATGTATATTTAGATTTATTAGCAAGAAATTCAACTTTTCATTCTCTATTCCTAATCTATATCGAACTTGTTAAGTTTTCTCAGAAAATCAGATAAAAGTTAAAATATAATTTTAAAATAACTTTTTTCGTTTCCTGAAAATAAAGTTGATTAATGTTAAAGGAAATGTCTGTCATGGGATATAGTTGCAGTCCAGTTCTTAAATCTGAAGTGTCTACAGAGACTATTAAATGCTGATCAAAAAACCGATAATATTCCAGGGTCAGGGCTCTTTATTACAAAAATCTAACACAACATCGGTTTATGCATAGATAGTAATGCATGAAAAGTAATTCCGAATTATTCCTAACTTTGCTCCCCACCATTTTATTCTCTAACAGGCTGTATTTAGTTGCAGATAAGCTTTCACAGCTTGTATTAGCTTTAGATAGATATCCACCAAGCTCAGTCCATATGTATATGTTGTCTATCTATGGGCACTCCCATGAAATTGTCACCCTTGGTTCGTTTTACGCCCCACTGAGCGCCGATCGAATCAATTAAATGCAAACTGCCCAATTTAATTGAAAATCAGTCGAAATCAGTAGCACTCTCCAAGCGGTTGTGTGGTGGTCCAAAAAAACGGAAAATATAATGTTGGAAGATCAAGATAAATCACAAATGGCTAATCGATCGACAGGATACGCCCTGAAACGTAGAAAAGATCGTTTTGTGGTGGAGGCAATCGTGGGAATCGTGAATCCAGCCTACGAACCTGATCTGGGTGGAGATAAATCCTCCATCAGTGGCATCAATAGAAAATGGCGAGTACAGATGATGGCTTACTAACAGATCAGTTTAAGAGACTGGCAAGTCTGGAGTTTATGTGTCTACCTAATATGATATCCGATAAAGGAAATATTTAAACAATAACCAAAGTATTTCAGAATGTTTACATATTTATAAAAATTAATCAATTTGCTTCTTAAATCAGCATAAATAGTCAAATGAAACATAAAGCAACTTTACAAAAGTCTTGAATCGAGTAGCACACTTATAAAGAACTAAACTAACTTAAGTTAGAATCCTGCGATGTGCATAATCTTGGGTCTTTTAGAGGGCGTGGGATTAGGATCGGGCTCGATTATAGTATTCTGTCCGGGCAACAAGATCGGGAAATCGTGCCTAAAGGCGAGAGGCAGTTCCTTTTTGGGAGTAAAAGGTGACTCTTTAATCTCCCCATTAGCATCAATGGCTGAAATCAGGGAGTACTCCGCTGAGGTGGCGTCGTAAAGCTTGGGAAGATTAGTTCCGGGTACCAGTTCGGGATTTCCCCCCGTCTCATCGTTTTCGTTGGATTCCACTGGCTGGCTGGGCAACTGGTCCAGCCAATTGGCCATGCGATGCTCTGGCTCAAGTTCCTTGTCCTTCAAGCGCTCATGGAACATTTCCCTGTCAACGTCACGTGTGTTATCGTACTCCTCCATATCCCACACATCCAGCAAACGGATCGAAAGGAAGTCCGTGTAGTGAGACATCTGGTAAGCGGACTTTTGCCAGGATCCACGGTTTATGCCTTTGTATTTTTTCTGGTTTGCTTTATTAGGTGTTTTCTTTCTCAGTTGCTGCTTCGCTTTCTTTGTAGTTTTCTTTTTCGGTTTCTTCTTATCTTTTCCTTCGGCTGTCGAAGTGTCTTTCTTTGCTGATTCAGAGCTTTCATCATCTGAATTATCTGTATCTTTTATCCCATAATCAATTTCGATTTCTTCTATGATAAGAGGTTTTTCGTCAGGTTCTGTTCTCTTGGCGGCTTCGCGAAAAAAGTCCCTTATTTCTGGTATCGACTGAACTTCGGTGCACCGAAGGCTCTGGCGCTTTACGCGTTCATGGACGATAGTTGCATAATAGTTAATAGCTTCTGCAGTGTGGCGACCGGTTCTGATCTCCTGGACGTGCTCCTCTTCATCTCTAAGCGTTAATCGTTGGCAATGGACATCTCCTAAGCTGTTGGCGGTTAGTAGTTGGGCAAAAGCATTATCACTAGCATTCTCCAGTTTATGAAAGCGTAATCCTGTAGTACATGATTTTATTCGCTCGGGAAGATCAGCGTAGACATCCACGAAACCCCTTAAACGAGCATCGCTTAAAGCTTCTTCTAAGGTGGGCGGAGAAAAGGGTATTGCGGGCGAGAACATTTCATCTACTGTATTTGCAAGACATCCATTCAGTTGACAAATCCGCAGATCACTAGGTAAAACACCAGCTAAAGCAATATATTCATTGCCTTCGAAAGCGAATGTGTCAATAAAACTGGGCGGATAATGCATTTGATGAGTCCAGGTGACCACAGCACGATCGGCCAGTTTCTTTCCCAAACATCTTATGTCCAAACAGTGCAGTTTGTGGTTACTACCCACATAGAGAAGATTGGGATTCACACTTTTGGTCATACAAGTTAGGTTCTCGCAGCTTAGGGAGTGCACGCCGCTGGCAAAGCAAGGATTCGGTGGCTGATCGCATCTCACATCCACGGTAATTAGAACAGGCTGAGAGAGGTAGTGAAAGGTGCTGCCGTCTGCTGGCACTAGTTGAGCCCAGTTGCTCGTAGTTTGTTTGAGTGATTTTAGCAAGCGAATATCGTGTTTGGCTATATCCTGTTGGGTTGTGATGTCCACGAAGCGCAAAGAACGGTCTTGGCAAGCCAAAGCCAAGGTACTAGCATTACCTATTGATTGTGAGGCACTTACAAATGTAGCTCCTTGGCTGCTAAACTTGCTCAGGCTAACCAGTTCGTAATCTTCAGACTCCTGTTCCTCTTTGCTTTTTAGTTCGTACAAGAATACTTCGTTTAAACAGCGTGCCAGGAACGTGTTGCTGGAATTCGCCTGCCAACTTTTTAGGGGAAGGAGTTCAAAGATTTCGCTAGTGGCCTCCTGTACCTTGGCCGAATGCAATGGTTGCCATATTTCGGCCTCACTATTAATCTCTGAGAAGTGCAGATTCTTCAACTTATCTCCATTCACATGCATGGCCAACTGGCCACCTCCCTCCAACGGGAGCGTGTTGAGGTTTCCACCTGTGTAGTAGTAATCATAGCTGTCCCGGAAAAAGGGGTTCTCCTGTCGTGCAATATGTTCGGCCATATCAAACAGACTCACATCGTAGATTCTTTGCTCTTGTTTTTGTTCCCGCTGCTTCATCTTTTTGGTTCGCTTATCGAATATAGACCTGTAGAAGTACAATTGCCGCGAATATTCCTCGTGCGCATACGGTCTTTGGGCGCACGCTTCCAGGCGAGGAGTTTGTGCATCTTCAGCGAGGAAAACCGGAATTGGCACCGTCACCATACAGTCTGGAAAAACCTGCGACTCACACTCTTTCTGATTGTAAACCGTTTGACCCAGCATCCCAGTGTTTACATTCGGTTTGCAGAAATGCGGAACGTTTTCCAGAGTCAAACGTATGTGTTCTGGTTGATTCTTGGCTTCTTCATTCTTATCTTCTGCCTCTTGATCATCCGGAAAATCCATTTCAGAGTCAGAATCATTATCACTTGTTTCTTCAGACTTAATATTTAGTTTGGCACTCAAATTGGCCAACTCAAGAGCTCTCTGGCAGCGTCGCGGCATGTCTGCAAAAGCGTTTTCAATAAGAGAAAGGGTTTCTAGGCCGTGATAGGGAAATTTAGGCTTACTCAGTGGAATACTTTTCCAGTTCTTCGTCTAATATTAAATAAATTAAAAGTTATTGGACATCTCAGGTAAAATTACAACTCTTGAAATGGATTCGCCAATTCAAAACGCATGAAATTTCTTGTTCTTGTGCGCTGAAGACAGCTGTTTGATGTGACCGCGTCTAGAAATTTAAATAACGACAAGGTGTTTTTAAAATATTGCAGTGACTTGGACTATACTTAGCCTTCTACTTCAAAATTCTTTTAAATTTCGTATGCTGATACGCTTACGTTTTTTATCAATTAAATATAATTTCAAACACAAAAATTTCTCGTTTTTAACAACCTAAGTTCATAAGATGCACCTATGGTATTTTTACATTTGAGCAGTATATTTAGTGTTCGTAAGCGGTCTTACCAATAGAATTTTATTCCGCATTCGCTCCGGTCATACTGGCGCTCGGTTACTTTGCGCTGCATCGAGACCGAGATTAAAACTTGAAAGCAGCTGGAGAAATTACAAGAAATTGATCCCGAAAATAACTGGCAATCGCGAACAGCGGGCGTGTGTGTGTGTGTGCGTGCGCGCGAGAGCGAGAGAATAAGTGAGCGAAATAGAACGAGCACACAAATTACACAAGTTGTAAAAGAAAAGCTGAAGAAAAAAGTTGGCCAAGACCGAATATTGATTTTTTCATAGACGGTGCAGTTAAAAAAACGATAGTAGTTTTTATCTCTCTTTTTTGAGACCCGCAGACGAAGAAGAAAAAGAACGGAAAGCGTCAGGTGAGTTTTTACATCCAACCTGACACACACTCTTTTGCACCTACACACACACCCACAGCGGGCACAATTAACACATACACAAGTGCAAAGCAGACAACAAAACAAATGACAATTGAAAAGGTGCGAAAGAGAGGGGCAGGGATCATAACTTTACCAGTTCTAATTCCCTCCCCTCTACCGTTTGACTCACTTGCATTTGTTTTGTTGCAATTCTCTACTACTTCTCCCCCTCTCTCTCTCTATGTCTATCTTATCCTCTCTCTCTCTCTGCGCTCGCCCTCATTAAAAAAGACAAGAAAACACACTGCCTCATCTAAAACTTTTCATTTGCATCCCAGTATATGTTTTCCAATTAGCACCATTATATATTTTGCGCACTCTTCTTCTTTTACTTAGTTAACAGTTAGTTGTTGTATGCATGTTGTTGTTGTTCTTGTTGCTTGCCATATCTCTACTAATTCATCCATTTATTATGTTCGGTTTTATTCGTTATTCTTTTTTCTTGTGTGTTTTGGCTTTGGTTTCGTTGGGTTTTCCTCGCTTCTCCTGGCTGCTAATTTTGACAAGCCCCAAATGGCTTCTGGCTCTGACGTAATGTAATGCCAGCCAGCTCCCTCTCCCTCCCACTCTTTCTCTCTCACTCTCTCGGAGCTGGCGCTTTTCCACTCTAAACGACCTCCAGAAAACTTCGCCGCAATCATTTCAGCAGCTGCCACAGTAAAGCCTTTGCCAAGGAACTTCGGAAAGTTTCTAAAAATCTATGGAAAATTCTACCTTACCTAATCGTAGTAGGCATTTTTGGAAGAGAAATCTTAAGAAGTCATTAATCCTTATATATGTAGATGTATTCTTAGCTCAGAAGATTTTTCTATAATAAATTAAGAACGAAGTATATTGAAATATCAGCTAGGAACTCAATCATTTATTAACTTTAGAGAAACATTTCTTAATAATTCAAAACTATTATAGAACTTTAGTTAAAATCTTTTTAAATCTCCCAAACAACCAACTTTAAGTTATTAAGATATGAAAGAGTTAAAATTACTCTCAACATTGTAATCAGAAAATACATTTGTTATACGTTTCTGATTCATATTTGTAGAATTCATAATAAAAATAGTGTCCAAGTTTTGTTAGAGAGAAACAAAAAGTTAAAAAAAAACTATGGATTTAGTCAAAAATTTATGGTTATTAAGTCCTTTTCATTAGATCATTATTCTAACTTGACATACATAGAAGGTTTAATATTCCAATTTGCTTTTATAGCCCTAAAATAATACTTTCTCTTAATTGATCATTTTTCTAACCTGCACTAAAAGGCAAGGCAAAAGAATAATGGTTCGTTCATTAAGACCCGGCTTAACTGTTGTCCCTTACAGCGGTTCTAATTGGTTTCCCTATTGACAGTGCTTACTGTTCCTGCAGACATTTGTTATTTGCTGTTTTGTGAAATTTTATTGCTCTTGGCGGCTTTTGGGTGTGGAAATGAATGGGTGGGGAATCTACTTTGATGGCTCTACTGTAACCTGTCGGCGCCATCGCCATTGGCAGCATTTTGCTTAGTCTGCTCCTTCTATATAGTATATATCTATATCTGATGTTTAACTTTCCTGCATATTTAATGCGTAGGTCAGTTTACCCAAAAAGCAAACACAATGAAAAGTTCGTCGCACAAATTGCTTTTGGCGCCTTGTTGCTGTTGCTGTTGTTGCTGTTGCTTTTGCTGTTGGCCACTCAGGTGTTTACCAACTCTCTTGCCACCTTTTTCCCGTTTTTGCCCTTGGTCTGTGGCTCTGTTTTTATGTAACTTTCAAATCGATTGCAAACACGTAACAGTGGGGCAACCTGCACCGCCCAACACCCATCGCCTTGCCACGCCCCCACACCGAACAGATATCCCTACCATATCCTGCAACAACATTCTGACGTGGAACGTGTGATTTTGTTCGTTTCTGCTGTATTTTTTGTATTTGTTGGCCTGCGGCCTGACATAGCGTGACATTTCCTTTATGTGATTTGCTGCCGCTGTCGCTGCCCCATAACCCTTGCCCCCTTCCGCTTGCCCCTTGCCCCGTGCCCCATCAGGTATCTTGCCCCCCAAAAGAACATTTGAATAATTTCTGTTTTGCAAATTTGTCTCTACCGGAGGCGATATCCTTGAAAGGCTCGGACAAATTGCAGTCAATACAATAGTTAAGAAAGTATTTTTAGGGGAGAAACGAACTTGTTGTCAGGTTCTTTTAAAGGTATATGTAAGCCTTGATTACAAATATCTATAGCATTACGGCGAAGATACTGGTATCAACAAAAAGGTATTACGTTTCAGACAACTTCAGGAATATCACCATGTTTATAAACATTATTCTCAGTTAAAGAGGAATCACTTTTAATAATGAAAGTTTCTGTAATAATTGTAAGAATAGTCGAGGGAAGTTTTTACCTGGTCACCGTAATAAATTCTGAATAATTTAGGCTTTGGAAAAATCTGAAAACCCAAAGTACCATCGACTCTCTCAACCAATCACACTTTTGAGCAGATTGAGTACAGAATGTTGTCTCAAGTCCGGTTTGTTGTTGCCCGTTGACCTGCCAACGGTTGCCGTGGGCTACCTGCCAAATTGTCGATATTCCGTGTGCTCCTTTGGCTTTGGCGCAGGCCGGAAAATCGAAAAACAAGTGGGAGAAAGCCAAGGCACGTCATTCTCTGTCGCTGTCTCCCTCTAGCCAGTTGCTAATTTCAATGGCTCCAAGTTCCTCGCACCTCCAGCTCGCTCTTCCTCACGTGCAATCGTAATTATGAATAATTCGCCATAAATGGCACACGCTGGTCTGCAATTATTGGAATTGAAGTGCCCCAGATGCCGCTGATAAATCGCTTGCCACCAATACTCTATAGTCTATAGTAATTCCACCTACATATATACAAATATATATGAATATGGCGCTAGTTCCATTATATCATTTCGTGTGGCCGAGGTGAAAAGTGCAAGCACAACTTTATCAGCGCCCATAAATCGCCCTGCAAAAGGTCAAAGTTGAGCTCGACTAACAGCTTTTTCTGGGCGAAGGAATTTCAGAATGCCAATGGACGTAGGAACTTTAAATGCAGTGTCATTCGAACGCGAAAGCACTATATTTTGGGTTTATGAACTGAAGAAATAAATAATAATTTGAACTAATTAGAACAAAAGTTTAAATTTGGGTAGTAAAAGTTTAAAAAGTATGAGGTTTAAAATTAACTAGTCTTTCTTTGACATTATTTGATCAGCTGAAATCAATCGTTGACTTGATCTATATGAAGTGAAGATAATGTTGGAGATATTAAGTAAGCAATGAATAAAGTAAGTTAGTATTTGAGTTACTTATCTTCATATAAGAAGATAATGGAGAGAACTGAGATATTTCTTAAGAAGTCAGCGAGTCAAGAACCTTGGTTGAGTCTCAGATAACAAGATAAGATAGCAGGAAAGCATCGGCATTGCAACGCACAATTATCAAGTCATGACTCTTACCTTCCCCCTTGAGCTCACATCGTGATTTGATGTCAAAAGTTTCGTTTTGAATGGCCAAAATATGCAGATTACATTGCAGCTAAATGAGCAATAAAATACTTAAGTCGTTGCCCTCTGAATAATAAAACTCTAAAATAACTCATGCTCCGCCCTGAAATCCCCAGTTTTATATACATTTTCTTTTCCGTTCTGTATGTTTTCTCTGGTGCCTCATTCATCATACGCACTGTGGTCCCAGCCTGGAAATGAATTCAAATTGCTTAGCTTGACTGGGTTCTAAAACCTAAGACGCAAAAAATAGTAGCCATAACGAGTTTTGTTTTGTTTGTTGTTTGAATTTATACAGTTACACTTTGTCGACTATATATATATATAGTATATATTTATCTGTATCTGGGGGCTGCGTCATAGCTTTGGAGTGGGTGAAGCGTTTGCATTTGCTTTGTTGCTGTCCAGTGATTATTAGTTGATAAATTTGAACCGCATGACGCACTTAATCAGCTCCGAAAAAAAAGACAACCAAATAGAACATGAACAAAAAACCATAGTTTGGCCTCCCGGGGGCATGTGTGAAATTTTCATTCCTCTGTTCCACTTTGGCTTTAAGCCAGGGCACGTGGAGAGCAGGCCTCAACCCTTGGCCCAAACTGGGTTAATGTAATGCATATGTGCTAGATTGGGTGGCAAAAGAGGGGTAGTAGGAGAGGGGTTGCTGCAGTCCCTCTCTGTGCCACAATCCCACTTCCCCAACCCTCATCCTTGCGGCTTGGCCTGCATATTTTGTTTCAAGTACGAGCATTGACGCCCGAGCTCAGTGTTCCCCCAAGCAGTGGCACTTGGATAATGATGGCAAAAGAGGGTTGAGTTCTTGA